GTCCATACATTATATAGCAAAAAGACCAGACTATAAACAACTGCTCAGCCAAAGAGTGCAAAAAGTGATTCAATACCCATGAAATGACTGGATTAATTTTTCATTGTATTTATTTTATAACAGCAAGATAAATATATATTTGCATTTCTCATATCTACCTGCAAAGGTACTGGAGTCCTAATTATAATTTATTATTTTGTGTGACAGAAAAAGAAATAGAGAACTCACAGTCATGAAGATATAAAAGATAATGCCATCAAACTTGCCTTTCCCTTTTGAAGGTTCCTAACAGTACACTTCAAGTTACCTGCAACCTCCTCCAGTTTCCTCCAAATATTAGAAGAACAACACAAAGTGTAAAAGATTTACAGCGACATTCTGTAGGATATTCTGTGCTCATACCCCACCTGCAGCTTTTTACCTTGATGAAAGGACTTGACCTCACATGAGCCACTCCTACTTGCACAAAGGATAATTACAACAGGAAATTCATCGAAGTCGTTATGTGCTTTACCCCTGCATACAGTTGTTTGTAAGATCAAGCTCTTAAACTATGGAGTTTATCAGAAAATAATCGTGAAAGAAACGACACAGTGGGTGTCTTCATTCCACTACAGGTTATGGATCAGATCTGCTCCCTTTACAAGACCCTACTACTTTTCTAACGTCTCTACTCCACACGTGCTCTGAGATCTCACGGACTCTTCAGACCCCAACACCAGCCTTAAGACTCTGCACCTGGGACACAGCCAGCAACTCTACTAACAATGCAAGAGACAAAACAAAGTCCAGCTCGTATTAATAACCGTGACTACTCCAGCTAACCAATATCGGTTAAAACATTGTTCCAGGGTACACACTGCAGAGATCTGTCACTGAAAGACCGCAAAGCTGTTAGTTAAGGATGCCCGACAGACCCCACACTCGCGGGAGCAGTAAGGAGACCTCGGGCAGCAACCGGTGAATATAACATGTGAACAAAGGGAGCATCACTGAAATGAAAGCTCACGCCGCTCGCGTACGGCACGAAACGCCCGTTCGCGTTATCCCACGGCCGCCAAACCCCAGCTCTCGCCGCCGCGGCTCCGCTCCGAGGGGCAAGACAGAGCGGGAGCACCGGGCAGGAGCCCTCCCGCTGCCGCCGGCGGGTACGGAGCCGCGCCCGTCACCGTGTCCATCATTCCCCGACCCCGCCACTCACCGGCAGCCGCCCGAGCGCCCCGCGCTGCTCCGCACCCACCGCCCCGGAGCGGCCCCGCCCAGAGAGCGCCCCGGACACCGGGTCTAGCGCACCAGGTAGCAGGCCCCACCTCCCTCGCACCGGGTATGGCTGGGGGAGCTCTCCTCGTGGGAGAAGGCGAACGGGGCCGCACGGACGCGGCCGGGGAAGGGTGTGTAGGTAAAGCTGGTCCTTGTGAAGCACACAGGTACGTGCAATGGAGACCATTTCCCTATCGGACACCAAGGGAGCAGAGATCACATCTTCTACTCTAACAGGGCTACTGAGTTGGCTCAATCTGTGAATGCACCAAGTCTCCTTCGTGTCATCAGTTATTTTTGGTACATATACCCTTCTTGGCTCATCAGACCTCTAAGCAAATCCAAGTTGTTATTTTCAGGAAGCCAGGGATTTGACTTACTCTTCCAGCGTCAACCAGCATGCTTTCCAGGGATACTGAGACTGTCACATCACAAGAACCACATGCAGACTTATGTTTTCTTTTTTTCCTTGCCTCTTCCAGAAGTATTTACAGCTTGTCCAGATTGGTTCTGACATCTGCTGCCTTTCAAAACCAGAGCCCATACTGAGAACTCACACACACATTTTCATATATAGTTAAAAGACATCTCCAAAACTTCCTAGCGTAGCTGCTGTACACACTGCCAAAGCAAGCTTTGTCACAGCGACTGTCAGTCCTTTTTGCCATCACTGGATCAAAACCCATAGTCCTGGCGGCATAGAAGACAAGTAAGAAAAGGGGAAGACGAGGCCGGGGGTGGGGGGAGATTTTAGTTGCAAGCTCACATCAGTATGTTTCTGAGAAAAGCAATTCCCCAGCATGAGCAGCCTCTGCTTTTCCAACCCCTCCACTGACACATTTTCTAACACTTGGTAAAAATTCCCATCTGGAGCTGTTTTATGCTGCAGATGTTTACACATTTATCTTCAGGAATGACAGGATCTTGATTGCCTTTGGCATGGTGCCATCTTCACATTGCAAAGTTCTTTCTTCTCACACTTAGCACAGCTAGAAAGTCAAAAGATGCAACTGAAAAATAAACAGAAATGTGATGGAGATGGAAATAAAAACTAAAGAAGGGGTCCAGCAGAAACATGGTCTACGCTTTTAATCTGAGGACTAGATAAATTAAAATTGTCAATCAGGTAACTTAGAGAAAAGAATTCCTGTGGATGTCTTCCAAAGGAACAATGAAAGAATGCAAGGACCAAACCGACTTGGCAACAATGTGGTCCCAGTGTATGCCAAGGTTATGGGGAAGGTAGGCAAAGCACACTTTGTTTAGAAGTGTTAAATATGCTCTAAAAAAAAAATCATTAAAACTATCAGACAAGTTCCAAAGTGGAAATAAAGCAGTAAGAAGAATGCTGAGGTGTAATGAAGCTAATTTTGCTCCATCTCCTAACAGATGCTGTTTATCAAAAACACAAGGAATATTTTAAAACTTAACTACTCTTATTTGCAAGAATATGAAAGTCCTCTGAGCTCAAATGCTTTCTTCAATTAGTAAGAAGAGAGCATAATATTGAAACTGCTTTATCAACTCATCTTATAGATGTTAACAGAATGGTTTCAAGGAGGAAACTATTGTTGTCTACAGAATAGAAAGGAAAACCTGTCTGGGACAATAGCTAATGCCTGTGGTATTTAACCAGAATTGGGGCCAACTCCATTCTGAGTAGAACCTCAGTTCTCTTGGAAGGAATTGCCAAGTAAAAAGTAAACTCGCTAGCAAGAAATGTATAACACAGGGCTCATGAATTTAGATCATTCAGACTCACCATAATTTTATTTATCCCCATTTATTTATAAATATCTGGGTTTATTTTCTCTTAAGAAAGATGCATTCTGAGGTGTATAAATATTTTTTTAATATGCTGCAAAGTAAAAAAAAAAAAAGAAAAAAAAAAAGAAGAGAGATTGAAGCTGGGCAACTGTCACTTGCAGTACCAGTGCTCGTGGGGCAGATAACTGGAGAGTCCATTAATCTTGGTAATATTTCATGGCCCTTCCTTATCTAAGAATGAACTGTTCTTGGATGAACTCTCTGGGATACTAGGCATAAACAGAGCTGCTTTTGCCCTCCCTTTGGGGTCTGATTCATGGTCACATTCAGGGTTGGGGTTGTTCTGAAGTCTGTTCTTTTTTTTTTTTTTCTTCTCTCTTAAACAAAATGCATTATAAAAAAAGAAATTAAAAAATCCTTTCAAATTTCTGTGTTTTCTATACCTATTCCTCTAACAGGTAATATCAACACAATGATGTGTAATTGTCACGTCTACACTGAGCAGAATTAACTGTCATGCAGGTAATAATTCTCCTAGATGGAGTACTTCTAAAGTTTCAGAGATTTATCTGCTATCCTAAACAGGACCAAAACACAGACCTACTTTATTACAAGGTACATATCTTAGTCACCAGGGCAATGAAACAATGAGATTTCTAAGTTACGCAGGAGGTAGAAGCAAAAGTCAGTGTATACCATGGAAGGCCAGATCAAGGTCCAAGCGCAGATCAGTAAGACGAGCTTATCAAATCAGACAACAGGTGGATCCAAACCCTATCTTGCAAGAGCCAACATGTTTAAGTACTTTAGTACTGAGAGGTCTTGAGTGTATCCCAAAAGGCAAAAAACTTCTAATCAGTAGCTGCAGTGGCTCACCAAGTTAAAAGCTTCCTAACACTGAGAGTTAGAAATTAAATTAAACTCACTTACTTCGATTTTACTTAACTAAATGTCCCAATGACAGGTTCAGTAAAAGCAGCCTTCATCCACTGAAGCAGGGATTATGAACCACCTGCCAAGCTACACTGCAAGCTCAAGGCTAGTAACACTGTATTTCTGCTGCACGTACACCCTGAGTGATACCACCTGCTTATGTGGAGGAATTGATGATACTCTGACTGGACACTGATTTGAGTTCGTTCTGAAGGATGACAAGGACACAATTAGAAGAGACAACTACTCTGACCCAAAACATCACTTCTGCCTTCTCACACCTGATACCAAGGAGTAGGCAACACCAGTAGCACTTAGCTGTATTCAGCACTCCAGGTGCTCTCTGTAAACACCATATTCAGTAGATACATCAAGTTAATACTTCCTTCATCTTAAGTTTTACTTCACCAAAATTTCCACTGAACAGAAGCCTGAATGTGTCCACAACTGGACACTCCTTCATGTTATAACAGTGCCTTGTGCTCGCTGCTTCTGTGGCTTTGGGTACAGGGAGTATGAACCTGAATGGGGAAACCCCAGAACTCTGTCAATTTCCTCCTTCCTGTCCCACTTCGAGTTCGACACGATCACACCAAAAAGATAACTGTTCCGTCAGGAAAGCAACGGCTCACACAGAGGGATGGAGCGCGGGGAGGGACCGGCCGGTTCCCAGCAGGCCAGCACCGGCTCCAGCACTCTCCTAACGGAACTCCGAGATTTAGTTCTGTCAGACCATGCGGCACGGAGCGGCCACCGCAGCGCCCCGAACCTGCCCTGCCCGACCCTGCCCGAGCTGACCTGCTGCAGCCACGCGAAGGAATGGCGGCCGGCGGCACCCTCCACGGAGCCGTCCTCGCCTCAGCTGCACGGCGTTCCTCGCAGGGTCGCGGACTACTCGAGCTGCTCTCGCCATCGCCTGCCGCACACCACCACCTAGTGCCGGAGCCGCGTCAAGAACCATCCGGTACTGAGGCCCCCACACAGAAAGCGGCAGCCACGCCTCAACCCGCCCTCAGCACCGCCCTTCTCCTGCCCCTCAGCGGCCTGGCTCCTCCTCCCTCCCCTCCGCTGCGCCGCGACTCAGACCCCGCCGTGCCGGAACGCAGGCGAGCGCGATGGCCCGCGAGGAGCTGGCGGTGGCCGGCGAGGAGGCGGCGGCGGCCGAGGGGGGCGGCCTGCTGCTGGAGATTGTGAGCTCCCCGCTCAACCTGACCCTGCTGAGCCTCTGCCTCTTCCTGCTCTACCGGATCCTGCGGGGCGAGCAGCCCGCGGCGCAGGCGGGCGAGGCGGACCCGCCGCCGCTGCCCAAGATGAAGCGCCGTGACTTCACGCTGGAGCAGCTGCGGCTCTACGATGGGGTGCGCGACCCCCGCATCCTCATGGCCATCAACGGCAAAGTGTTCGACGTGACCCGCGCCAGGAAGTTCTACGGGCCCGGTGAGGGCGGCGGGGCTGGCCCAGCCCGGGAGCCCGCGGCTCTTTGTGCACGGAGGGATCACGGGGGGCCTCGGCGGCGTGGCCGCCGCTCAGGCCCCGCAGGCAGGGCCGGGCCCGGGGCTGGCGGCTCGGGGATCGGCGGCCTCCGTGATAATGCCTGGCCCGCCGCCTGCCCTGCTGGGTGAACGCTGGGCGAAGCTGCCCGCGCCCTCTCGGCCCTGCTCACGATCCGGAGATCTGGGAGCTGGGAAGGGTGTGCGCAGCTCGGCTGTGACAGAATCACGCAACAGCAGCGCTGGGAGAGCTGCCTGCCTGTCTGCCTGCCCGGTGGGGCGGAGGGCAAGATTACTGCTGTTGCCTGGCTCCGGAGCCGGGCCCCGCTGCTGTGGAAGCGCCGGCTTTGCCAGCCCACGCCTGTTCATGAATCTCTATTTTCCGGGGGGGAGTTGTGCCGCTGTTGGGTGGCTTCATCACTCTCGGGTGCCTTTGCCTGCTGCAGGGCAGCAGCAGCAGTGTTTTCTCAGTGTTTACATTCCATTTGCGACTTTTAGTGGACATCACTCTTTTGCATAATATTTATACTAAATACACAGCAATTTAGATTAAACCAGCTTCTTATCAGGAGTGCAGGCGGATGAAACGTGCACAGCTTGGGTAAGCTGTGCAAGGGCTTGCAGAGCAGCTAGCGATGAGGTGACTGGACTATGTGCACCCAGGGGACAGTTTTATCACCTCCACTAGGATATGGGTTTTTCTTTGTAAGAGGCCTCGTGTTAAAAAGTCTCACTGGGGCTTGATAACTTGTACCAGGATCTGTCAGGCATAACTACTCCTGAGCTGTCCAGAGCTGGTAGCTGCTATAGTGAGCTGCGAGCATTACTCAGAGATAAGGAGAATAGTGCAGGAGACTCGTATTTGGAAGCATGAGATTATTACCTTTGGTCCAGACATGGGCTGGAGACTGTCACTGAGTGGTGCTTGACTGTAACTTTGCATTCTGCAGCAGTCAGGCTGAGTTAGATGTGCAGTTTTGTATTTGTGCGAGTTAAAAACCACTTGACTTTAGGAGCGTGCTTTGGATGCCACCTTCTTTGACAATAGTAAAAGCTGCCTGCAATTTGATAATTGCTGAATGGTTCATCACAGTGTCTGCCCAATTTGGCTTTCATTTTAATAAAGCAGTAAAAGTCTTCTGATGAGTTTGGGAAAAAGCTGGCTCTTGGAGGTGTGGGAGATGTCATGCTCACTACAATAACCTGAGTTAACAACTTCTTTAAGCTCCCTGACAAAGAACTTTCAATGTCTAGTTGCAACATGTGATATCTCAATTTTCAGCTTGTCATGCGAGCAAGTTAATCTTTAATGAAGTTTAGCAAGAGTCTGCCTTGGTATCTCCGATTTACTGCAAGTTGCATGTTTTGGTCATTTGAGTTCATCTTCCATTTTGAAAGTTTTAATAGATGTTCCAAGTTGATAATTTCTGTCAAGTCATCCTTTCAGCTCTTTAAGTCAGGAGCATCTCTTAGAAAACTTCCATTTCACCTCAGACTTTACAAATCTTCCTCTGTTCTTCCTTCCAAGGCTACACTTCCTGATTTGTATACTTATTACCTTGTTTGTATGTGCCACACACCATTCTGTGGCTCATTGTCCTGATGTTTCAGCAAACTCAGTATCTCTTAACATGGTTTTGTTTCTTGTCATCTTCCTCTGTTTTCCCTCATTACCAAGTAGAATAAAACTTTAAAACATGTCAGAAAATTGAGGCATCTCTGACCACAGGTCAGTGTAGGAGCTCATCATCTGTTTGAGTCTGAGGACTCTGATCCGTGATCACACAGCATCTGTTACCTCTCTGATAATGCTGCTTCTGTTCCTGTTTTAAAGAGGGCCCATATGGGATTTTTGCTGGAAGAGATGCATCCCGAGGTCTCGCCACTTTCTGCCTGGATAAGGAGGCTCTGAGAGATGACTATGATGACCTCTCTGATCTCGACGCTACACAGCAAGAGACCTTGAGGGACTGGGAGTCACAATTCACTTGTAAGCTATTTTAAACCAATTTACAAAGAAGTAACTAACTAGTGTGTAATAAGGGAAGCAACGGCTAAAAGGCGGTTACCAGCTGGAAGCATCAGTCTGGAAACTTACTTTGAGTTAATACCTCAGTTTGCTAAGTATTACTGAAATTACCATTATTCAAAAGAATTAAGAGAAATGCCATGTTTTCCTTCTGTGTTCTTCTTCCCTCTGCTCCTTACAGAACACTGGGAGAGATGGAAGCATTCCATCATAGGCAGGATCTATAAGACCACACAAAAAGTTCACAGGAATTGGAAATTAAGAGCATGTTTTTGATACAGATAAGACCCCATTTATAGAGAGGATTGGATTTTAATGTTCTGAGAAATGAAGCTTCTCAGAAATAAGAGTAAACGTTTGAATTATTACTTCTTGGCTTTTTTTTCAGTTTTGAAGACTTTAAACTAGGCTTTTTTTGCCTTTGTGCTCTTGATATAACTTTTTTTTATTCTAAGTAAGTGACTCTGCATGGCCTTGTGGTAGTTTTGTCAGATTCACAGACAACTGTATCCAGCTGACCTTCTCCCATAGAGAATCAAATCAAATGTTACTTTAAGTGTTTTGTTTGGTATTAAAGATTTACTATCACTAGCTAGAATGGAGCTTTCCTCCACATAATGCCATTAGAACCTCTCAGTCCTGACCTGATGTGCCCCTACTATTTTGGCGCTCTTCCTGTCTTAATGAAGACTTATTCATGCCACACTGAATGGCTGTTTTATTGTGCTAACAAGCATGTTGTAGAACTACACTACCAAATACCTGACCTCAACTAATGTTTAAATCTACCTTTTCAAGAGCTGGGCATCAGGATTGACAGCAAACTGTACTCTTTTTATTACTATGTTTCTAGTAAATTTGGCAATTAATTGCTTTAAATTCTCACTAATTATAATAACAACACTAGTCTGAAATACCTGTAGCCAGAGGCATCTTTTGCTTTGTTGAAGTTGACAGATGAGCAACATAGCATAGCTCTCAGTTCTTACACATATACAATCTTAGCATTTTTACATGTTCAGAAAGAGATATAGAGTAAGACAGATGCTTAGCTGCATAATCGGATAATAGATCTTTCTTTATCTTTGGGAGAAAGGATCTATATTGGGTATTTTCAACATGCATTACACCAAATAAAAGCCCTTGAAAGTTGTGTACATGTGTGCACACATGTACCTGCCTCTGTGTATAATACGTAACCTAAATATTTTAATGCCACTGGTTGAAAAAATGTCTTTGACTCTGGCAAGAGAAATAATCTAATCCAGGATTCTGTTTCTTTAGCTGGATGAGACCTTCATTTTACACGTCTTTTGGCTTAAGCAATAGGAGAACACACTCACTTTTTGTGTTTCTTACACTTACTACAACATTAATAGTAGTTCAGGTAGTTGATTGTGGCTTTTCTGCTTCCCCTAATGTTTAGAACAAGTCACTTGAGACACGTTTATTATAATACAGGCATTCTGTCAATTCAGGAATGAAGCAGAGGAGTTAAAAAACTCCTAAGTTCAGGGCAGAATAATGACTTGTGTTCTTTTTTTTTTCTCTCCCAGTTAAGTATCACCATGTTGGTAACCTGCTGAAGGAGGGGGAAGAACCCACTGTATACTCTGATGAAGAAGAGAAAGATGCCAAGGATGCAAAGAAAGACTAGAAAGTGCAGTGAGGAACAATCTGGTTTTGAATTGTAAAGGATCATTTGTAACATTCCACTTCTTTTTATAAGTTGCAACAGCAGCAGTGCTTACAAAAGGTCCAGAGTTACACTGAGTTGCTTCTGTTCAAAGGTTTTCTTTTCAAATTCAGTGGCAAACCACTAAAGGTCTAAGATTTGTCTTCCTTTAAACCTGCATATCTGAAGTATGCACAAAAATGTCTGTTGATAAAGTAAATTTTGGCAATAAAGGACTACTCCTGTTTTTCCTCTATCACCATTTAGCACAGAGTAAGCTGAAATCCAGATTTAAATTCAGAACCTAGCACTGCAGACACAAGCACGAGAGTAACTTCACATATGCAACACAAATTCCACTAACTCTTGTTTCACATTAATTCTGTGGGATCTGGGTCTTGGATTGTAATTCCTTTAGAAAAAAGGACTATATTTTGTTTGTCCATGAAGCATCATGCTCATTTGTTGTGCAATGTAATTCAATATTTTGATATTTGATAAGATAATTTGGCTTTTAAGGAGTTACACGGCAGCTTACAGAAGGAACTGCTTTTAAAAAAGGTAAGAATGTTTGAGAGGTTAAATCACTTCTAGATACTTTTAATTAATACTGATGAATACTTGATGTATTCAGTCATGCATAATGATGCATGGATTAATACTTTTAAAGCACATCTGAAGTGTTACGAAGGTTTAAGATACCAGGTGTAACTAGAAATCACTAAAAACCAGGTACATCATGAAGTGTGACTCAACTGGACTATTCATTTATTTTTCCTCTTACTAAAACTCTTCTGTGAATTTTAATGAAATGGTATTAAACAGGAAAGATAAGCTGCAGTTGATTCCTAGGCCTAAAAAAGGCAACTTGCTGGTATGGTGTGATTAACAAGTGCCCTTGTACATGCAGCTTTAACCAGCAGCAAAATGTTCCTGTTCAACATATGAGTTTCCTGTACAAAATAAAACATGGTATAAGCTGTTTCAGCATTGAGGCCTTTGTTGCTGTGGAATGTTGCCATTAAAAGAAGCAGCACAATCTCCTGCAATGCTGTACCTGCGGGACCTGACCTTTGAATTGCTTTAAACTTACTTGCTCTCTTAGCTCACATCTCTGCTTAATTACTAGGTTTGTTCCGACTATCTAACCTAGTCTCCTCCCAGAGCATGCTGGGTAAATGGATTTGACCAAGGGAAGATGTAAACATGCTTCATCATCATCATCATCAGGTTCAAAACTGACCACTCATCCACTCATGTGTTTCTTGTCCAGGTGATTCTGCTTAGATGTCTGTCTGGGGTAGTTCTCTCTGTTTAGTTTCTTTGGTTCCGCTGTCTGGCCAAGCTGTTTCAGTTTCACAGCATGGCCAAAATGATAAACTGAGTCCGGAGTGGGAAGGTGTAAACTAGGCAAAACTGTTTGGAAGTAGAGTGCATTGCACAACAGCAACTTTCATAAACAAGTTGACACAACATGCTAAAGTGCCCAAGACCATCTGTGGTGAGAGCAACCAACTTTCCCTTAGTCCTACCACTACCATGGCATTTTCTTTGGGTTACACTGGGCCTTCAACTGAAGAGTGCTGTCATTTGAGCCAGGCGGCTTGCGTAAGTGGTAATTGCATGAACTACCCAGGGGAGGTCTAGAGACTAATGTAAATTTTGCCATGACCCTTGTGTTGAGATTTTCTTTTTAGAGACATTTATACTCCTTGCAAACTACTAACGGTTTACCTCAGATCAGTAACGTGCTTTTATTTAAGGCAGGAAATAAAATACTCTTGCATAATGGTGGTGTTTGTTTTTATTTACTGCAACTGAATGTGATACTTAATCCTCCCCCAATGTTTCAAGGGTTTTTTGTCTTTCTCCAGTGTCTTACATTATCCAACACATATATGTTCTAACTGAACACCTCTAAACGTGGCTCTGTAATTTCTACAGTATAGACTGTGTTCATGTTGTATAATGTGCTTTGCTGTTACAAAAAGAGAGTTAGGCATTAAAAGGCCCAAGTAATTGTTAACGCTGTACAAAACCTTGAGCATTGGAAGGCTGTCATAGTGGAGCTAGGCTAGGCTATAACCTACCCTTCAGCAGACCTAACCAGCTGGCTCTTTAAGTTAGTCCATAACATATCCTGAGGAACTGAATGCTATTTGAAGTATTAATCTTTATGTTACAACATGATGCATCACGAAGAACAACAGTAATAAATAAGAAGTACACAGAAAACAAGCGGTAACACAGGACAAAGCTTAATGTTAAGCATCTGTGCCTCCTGGGAAGGAAGTCTTACACTTTGGTAAGACCAATAATTTTTAAGAGAAAACAAAGAGAATTTGTTATGAAAGGGGGAAAAGTGAGTCACAAAAGCAGTGTGACTCACAGATTGTATTTTCTTCTAGTGTGCTGGAAACAAGGGCTGGGTTTTAGCTTCTCTTTTGCTCTTTGTTCATTGCAACTTGATCCCTTCCCTCAGCAGTGACCAGCTGCAATGACTAAGCAGAAAAGACCTGTGCCAGGTAGCTTATCAGGCTGTACATCATTAACCAAGCAGGACAAGATGACCAACTAAGAGCAGAGACTGTCGCTAAAGCGTCTGAACATCCGTTACTCAAGTGCCACAAGGCCATACTTGAGGAGCTCTAGGCAAGTCAGAACAACTGAGCAGCATCTCACGTCCAACCTGTTCTGTCATACTGTCAACTGCTTTGTAAAATTCAGATGTTCTTTTATCTGGACTCTACCTGCTCTTAATCATCCTTATTGGCTCTTACTTCATGCTGTTTCAGTTAAACAAAAAGCAGCTCAGTAATGAATGAGAGTTATGTAATGGGTTTTACAAAAGGTGAGGCATTTTTATTCATTGCCTGGAATCTCTGGATTAAGGGCTTTGTCTCATCATTGGCTGCATTCTTGTATTTCAAGCAGATGGACTGATATAATGATGAGCACTGTGTATTTCTACTTTAAAAGCAGCCTGCAGGACTGTGACTTCAGCATTCAGCAGAAGGTACAGCCAATAGGCCATGTGTTCTGATAACAAAGCTCACTTCAGACAGCTCCCTTGAGAAGACTCTTGTTCTCACTAGATCCATAAGGAAATATTTTCATTAGTCTGTACAGAGGTCAGGTTTGATCACAGGATCCACAGTCTTACTGCACTACTTCATACATGACAGAGTAAACAGCGTTTCCATCAAAACCCTAAGCTCTTGAAACACCAGCTCAGTACAACAGCACCCACCAAGCTCAGACTGAAAGGTGTCAAATTATGCCAGCAATGTTTCACATTTCTACTACTGAACTATACAAATTCTGCTTTTAATGCATCTTTTTGCCTATTAAACATTCCAATTGAGTAAACATTGTAATTTATTCCTGTAACGACTGAAATTTAACCTGCAAAGGTATACATTCCGAGAGTTTTAAAGTAAGCTGTTACATGTATCTTTAAAGATTAGCCTTCAGGATAATTAAATTATACTGACCAGTCCAGCATATGAAAGGATGTGGCTCAAATGTAGTATGTTGATAGGAAATGTAAGAAATTAACAGTAAACCACCCGAAAACAGGCTCTAAATAACTCTACCTGTAAGCAAATAGGAAACAAAAGTTCTGTTTCACTATGAAGATTACAATGGTGTCTCACACTTCAAAATGCACATGTAGTTTATTTACAATGAAAGTTTTACAAGGAATGAGGACTTTGAGAGATGATTCGCTTTATCAGTTTCAGTCAATATAGGTGAATGCCAGAAGCAATTGCAGAACTGGTGTATTTGTTACTGAATATTGTGACAACATGTTGATAAAGCACTGGGAATTTACACCCAATGAAATTGGTTAGGCTGCCCAGCCTAACAGAAAGAAGTACTTCCTCACAGGTAATGGGAAGGTCTGGCTCACGGGAACAGGGGAGCTATGGACACAGAACTGCTTATAGACTGACAGAGGGGGAAGTTCTGTCATCTTTACTCCACAGATATTGCATAGAGAAAAACCACCCTTGGTTACGTCACACCAGTGCAACTGCAACATTGTACACACTCAACATACAATAGCTGGTCTTCATTATAACTCTATAAAATACTAAAAAGGAGACTTCAGAGGAGCATAAACGTTCTCCAAAATAGTCAAAATATTTCTGTCAAGAAAATAACATTTTTTTTTAGATAAAAGTAATAGGTTAACAGTACTTTGAGTAGCAACCATTTGTCATTCATGACCCTGAAAAGGCACTCAACATCTGGTTCAACACCTGAACATGTGAACAGAGAAGACTGATAAAACCCAGCTTTAGAAGCCTGTGGGAATCACCAGTACTGAACACTGGGGGAAACCTAACTATCACGAACAATTACAATATATTTGTTATTATTACTATTTATTAGAGCAGAAGTTACAAACATGGGTACGATTCTAGGTAACAAAGGCAACATTATCACATTAACTTAGTATACTGACATGTAATAAATAAAGCATAGTAAAATGAAAGCTGAAATAATCAGTGTATTTTACTTAGAATTGGTCTTCTACATCTTGCTAAGAGACTTTGTCCAAAAGCAATAGTGTCTGTCTTCTAAACATAGCCAGCTGAATAAATACAGATATAACTCAAACCCCTAGATTGCATTTTCACATTTTTATCCACATGCAGCACAAGTCTGTCAACATTTCACAATTCCTCTGAAATTATCTGTAAGCAAAGTCACACTAAACAGCAATCTTACTGAGCGTGCCTTCAAAATCTCATGAAACTTGGGTTCCTCCCAGGGACCAGCAAACTTGCAGAAACACCTCTAGAATTCTGAATAGAAAACAAGCATTTTTCCAGGGTGGGTTTATGGGATCTATTACTTTCCACAATTTAGAATAAATGTCACCCACACCTTCCAGTCCCACCATTTTAACAATCTGATTGAGGAGGAACTTCATATGTTTGCTCTAGATTTCTATAGCTATGTATTTTCCTCCTTATTATGAAATACTGTAACTTCATATTTACACGGTTCCCTACATTTAATCAGAGTTTAACAACCCGAGATCTCAATCTGTATCCTTTCAAATTCTTAGCAACTGGTCCATGAAAGTTTGTCTGGCCCTAGGGAAAGTTTTGGTCCTGTTACCCAAAAGGCAAACACAGGTTCTTGTTTTGCGACTCATTACACCAGTTAGATATTCTAACCAAAGAAATCACCTAAGCAACAAACCCCCCAACTATTTCATGTACCTTTTAATCAAAGGGCTTTCTTCTCCCACTTGTATATAAAAGCTTAAGAGCTGTTACACAGTAGCTGTTCAGCATCCTCTTCTGGGCTCTGCTCCACAGAAAGTATCTGAGCAGGGGTCTGTCTGAATTATCTCAAGAGGAAATAGAGGGCATCCTCTGACATCTGCATCCACCTGTTTTCTCAACATTAATCTCCTCTCATCTCCTGTGGGTAAGTATATGGAAAAGTTACTTGAAAATAGTTTGTCAGAGGTTGGTGAGAGAAAGGGTATGGGGAGAGAGCTGTAAAGTATCTGCCAATGAACTGAAAGCTTAGTAAATTGTGAAAAGGCTGTAACAATAGCCAGAAATGTTGCAATCCTGCATGATCAGATGACTACCTATATATAGAGCCAATAACTTTAGACAGTAATTCCCACCCAGATGTACCACATATTGAGCTGCCCAAAAATGTTTTTAGCTGTCTAAAGCATGTTGAATTGTTAGCACGCGTGTTGTTATTAACACCAGAACCACCTATCTGCCCGTGATAGACACTTTGCTATCCCATTAATAAGATGAATGCTGCTCTTCAACTACACCTATGTGTAGTGTTTTAGCTGGAGAGAAGTTGCACTCTTTTTTTATGCCATGTTTATACTTCCTAATGCTTTTTAAAACCACCAGTCACCACTGTAAGAACTGGCAGGTTATCTCACCTGCCAGAGACCTGTCACATTCAGGCACCTTAGATCTGGTGTCCCTCTTTCTCACCTGTCCTCTGGAGGGTCTCCTGGAGTAGTGAGCCATCACAAGGGGTAACATCTGGTGCTGCCATGGTGGTGTGAAGGGTCTTGAATTTCACTTTTTTGTGCAACATTTTCTTACATTTTCCTTGTATCTTTCTGAGCGACTCCAGCTGCACACAACTGTCCGTCTCTGAAAAGCCACATTCATCAGATAAAAGATTAAAAGAAAGCTTTTTTCTCTTTTTCTTCATTTTGCGAGTATTCCTCTCCTCTTCCCTGGACTGTCTCTTGCTTTTCTGTCCTTCGTGCCTCAATTTACTACTAGACCTCTTGCATGACTTCTTAAGATTATGTTCACACTGCCTTGCCAGGCCCTGATCGACAGAATTAGAACAGAAGCTACATTTGCTGCTTTCCTTCTCTTGACCTTCCAGAGTTACATTTTTAAGGTAAACCAGTAATTTGCTTTCCCCAGCTCTTGCAGGTAAGCACCCTCTGTTGCAATTGCTGTAAATTTCTTCACACCTTTCTATTCTCTTCACTGAGCTGCTACTTGCCTCTCTAAAGTAGTCAGAATCACTGATCTCTTCCAACAGTTCCTTTAATTTGCAAGCAGATCTACATGTTTTGTATGGTACAATACCTTCACCGCTACCATCTTCTTGTTTGAATTCCTTATCATGAGTAACAGCAGTGCAATCCAAAGAATGATTCAGTTCAGCATAGGGTAAGTTACCAACAGTGAGCAAGTCATTCCTCTGCACTTGCAACTCTTTCGCAAGCCTCCCCCCACAGGCCTTGTTTTCTAACACTGTGTCCGTTGA